TATAAATATTGTCTTTTTCTCTTAAATATGCTTTTAAATATTTTAGATGTGCCACAACCTCCTTGGATTGTGTGGAACATTGGGATGAAATGGGTCAGTGCCTAATGACCGAAATAGGCAATGGGCCCAAACTGAAAGGCATGTGCATCTGCCTAAGCATATAGAAACACCTTTTTTCTTTTTCTTTTTTTTTCCTTTTTTTTTTTTTTTTTTTTTTTTTTTAATTTTTTTTACTGCTAGGATAACCTATCACTGCCACAGATTGACAGAGAGGTTATGGAGTTGTTGGCAGTGTTCAAAAGCCATCAAGACAAGGTCCAGGGCAACCAGCTGTATGGGACCCTAGGTGACCTCCACTACCAAAACTCTTGACAGGTGTGCCTAATACATGACTCCACAATGCTTTCTTTCAGATCGAGTCCTTAAAGGGCTGACAGTTACTACGAGCAAAACTTGGCACCATATTCCTTTTGTGTTTCTATCGTCTTAGGTCAAATAAATGAAACTCCTAAGGATATAAGCAGACATTTATAGCCAAGTTCTGTGTCTGGTTACATGTTTGCATTCTTACTGATTTCAGAAGACAGATCTTAGATTTCCACTTGACCAGAAGAACAGCCAAAGGGGTAAGCTTCCTTCTCTCTGCTTAAGCCTTCATCATCATGAAATCAAATCTTTCTGCAGTCTCTGTATCTTGTAGACATAAAGTCCTGGTTAGCCCAGAGGTGAGTAACAGAAAAGAGGCAGTACAGGGAATCGATTTTTGTTTGCAGCAGTGAATCAAATTGTAAATAGGTGGTGTGCATATTTTTAAATATTTCTGGGGGGGGACTTGAATACTGACTGTTACGAGCCTTCCAGCATTAAAACACAGACTGATAAATGTCAGAGTACTTCTTTAGTTGTATCCATGCGCTGTTGTTAATTCAAAGTTGTACTGATGAGAAGTCTCTGTTTAGAATACTTGATCTGAGAAGCCACAGTTAAGGCATCATGAGCTTTTCCATAATAGACCTTTTATGGGGTTATGTCCATGCATTCTGTGAACAGCTGTTGGGTCCATCACTTTTTAAGATGTTCTTTCCCGTAAGCAAGGGACCATAGCAACAAGTGTAGAAATATTCAGAGTAATTGCACTTACCTGTTTTGTTTTCTTAATGTATTTCCTATGCATACTGCCTTACCCATATGTACTGTGCTCCACTGGTGGTACTAAGGGTAAATATCAGGTTTTTAATTTATAATATATAACATGAATTTTTTAAAAATAATAATAATTCTGTAACATTAGGTATTTATTTCAAGACAGAGGAAGAGATGTTGCTAAGCCCAGGTGAATTTAATCAAAAGTTAATATTGGTGGTCTTTATTCTCAGTTAATTTCTGAACGGTTTTGATCACTTGAAATAAATATAATATTTTAAGATTTTTTTTGTAGAGGAAAGCTCACTTTTAGGTGACTAGTAACAGCTCTGATACTGCCTCTGACACATGTACCTTCATATAACGTCTTTGTAACTTATTTTGTGCCTTTTCTCCCCCGACACAAAATATCTCTCAATAAAAACAAACTCTTTTGGAACACTGTAAACCTATTTTATTGTACTGATTTTATTTGCCTGACCCTTTTGTTTTCTGGAGGGCACTGAAGCTATCTCATAATAGAACGGACATTTATAACGGATGCCACAGAAGAAAATTGACAAGGTGGAAAGCAGGTCAGTTTGGAATGGCAGTGCTACAAAGCGCCTGGGAAACTGGGACTGTCAGTACTAATCAATATATTCCACCATATCTATCACAAATCATTTCTAACAAAAACGGGCAGCAGTGGAATGTGAGAATCAATTTACTACCGGCTTCAGTTGGCGCTGATTGATGTTGAAAGACTGGAAACACTTTGGGGCTTTAGCATAACAAAGTATCTGTTGTTGTTGCTACTAACACTTGTGTTGGTAGAATAGACAAAAACACTAATTGGCATTTACACCTCTTTCTTCAAAGTGCTGTGCAAACACACGGAACTGTAGACTTTATCTTCGGGGGTTCTGCCTAAACGCTTTGGCAAGGAATAGCAGAATCTGAATGTTTGTTTTCATTACCTGAAAGAGAGGTGATAAATAGCCTAACTACCTTTCCCTCCTGTATCCAGTGATATTTATTCTCTGAATCCGAATAAATGGGAGCAGTGCTCTGTTTTAAAGAGCCGGTTAACAGAGCTTTCATATCTTTGTGTATTCCTTGTGAATTTAAACATTCTCCTTAAGTATCTAGAGGCTTGAGCAGATGCCAGAGCACTTCATATATGTCAGTACTTTAAAGTATATATGCTAAAGAAAACAAATGGTCTTGCATGATAGATAACATACCAGGTCTTCTGTTATGTTACATTTTACTCTTCCTCAAAGTGGAACTAAGAACAAAGATCCAACCAGATTCCCTGGTCACTCTTGAGGGCACAGGCCACTGCAAAAGCAATCTTTGCTATTGTATTCCTAACTGTAAAAACAGAAACATAGACCACACACAATTTAGAAGTCCTTGAAGCATTAAACAAATGCAAGACTTTCAATGAACTTCAAATGTTCAGCATTTGAATCAGCAGCCTTTCCAGAACAAATAATAAGGATCCAGGAAGCATACAACAGTATACAAATACACTGCGTGCTGTATTGCGTACTCATCAGTCTAAAGCTACCAGGCAGCCTATATTTTGTTCTCAATATTCCCAATTCTTGTGAACTTTACTCTTTCTTTCTGGTACTTGAGATGCATAGGATTTTAGTTCTGTTTTTACTTTTGCTGCTGTTTAACCATGGAATCAATTGAAAACCCTGGTTTTCAGAGGTATCTAGTTGCATGTTCTGCTCATTTCTTTCCATAGCCTTTTGAATTTGTAGTTCCCTCTCAGATTTGTTTCAACTACATATGCAGGGAGCCAGTGGCCTGAAGAATTTGGTCAGTTGTCATCTACGGAGTGCTTGTGTGAGCAGCTGTTGGGATTATTTACTTTCACACCAGCCCTTGGGCAGGGCAGATCACGCTGATGTACCTAGCCACACTGTGTTAAGTTGGAGTGCCATTAAATGCAGCTTTGCTCTCCTGCCCATTGTATGGGAACTGGCCATTTCTTGCTCTAACTGGAGCCTGTTTGATTACCGAGCAGTTGTATTGTGTTTTTTTGTTGAATCAAGATAAGGAAAAACAGGGTGAGACCAGGAAGAGGATGCAAATTACGTAGGAGAAGGATTGTGGTTCACATGGCTGTTTTGGTTTTTTGGCTAATGTAAATGGCCTTTGCCTTGTTGTGACGCTTTTGCTGTCCATAAATTTTCACAGTTGCGAGGGGACAACATCTCTGAATGCCATCAAATGGGAGGGGTGGAATTAAAGCGCACTCTTTTGAAAGGAGGGACGTTTTGATGTGTGTCCTTAGCAATGAGAGCCAGTGTAAATTGTGGTGGCAGAAGTAAGCTTTGCCTACCAGCTACCAAGCAGCTATCAGGCAAAACGCTCAGTCCTTCGAAGCACCAGGTTCATGTTTAAGCGAGGCGTTCACCACAGTAAACTTCTGCTGAATTGATGAGTTATTTCCTAGTATCACACTTGTGTGAAAAACTGAGCTCTGCCTTTTCCAGCATTGTCATCTTGCATCTTGTCGCTACGTAGGACAAGAGACAGGATGAACATTTGTGGCCGAATTATCTGTCTTGATGAATAAGTCTCTAATTCTGCTCGGTTACTCAAGAGCATTTTCAATGAACAATCCTTGCTCCAGGGAGGAGGGGGAAATCTCAACTTATTTATCAAACTTGCTAGCAGCATAGAATGCAATATCAAACTTGAAAAAGTGGTTCGCACATGACTTATTCTTGCCATTACTTTTTTTTTTTTTTTTTCTAATAAAGAAGACAAAGATTTCACTGATAAGATTTGCCTCATTTTGGATATGGAGGATGTAATGTGCACCAGAAAAAAATCTCAGCCTTCTGTTTGATTTTAGTTTGTTAAGAGGTAGCTAGGATATGGCAATCCTGCAATCTGTTCTACAGCTGTATGTGGGCAATTTTGTTCATTTCTATGCACTTTGTATAATCCGTGCAGAGACTTGGCAAAGCTACAATGAGGAATGTCATGAGGGCTTGTCATAGGGAAGGCTGACTGATCCATGCAGATGGGTTTTCTTGGAAGTTTGCAAGTTTAGAAACCATTTAAAATCTAGTTCAGCTTTATTTTGGTTCAGCTATGGATTGAGCCATAGACCAGATTTCAGTGCTGGGCTGTTCTAATGTTTATTTTTGTTATTTAAGCGTGTTCTTAAGTAGCTCCTAGAGTCAGCATCCTGCAGTATCAGCATAGCCTGACTCATGATCCTTAAGTTATCTTTTAGCTGTGACAGTGCAAAATGACATCTTTGTTATGTCGTGATGGAGCTATCCTGTGGGTTTACCTAACATAAGCAGAGGAACAAGCATAAGAAGTGTATAGGTGTTCTTGCTTGCACAAAACTACTGATAAAGAAAGTTGTTCAGCTTAGGGCAATGCTTCTTGACCAAGCACTACTTCTTCCATGATCTCCCGTGAGAATTTGTCACCTCATAATGCTTTTAGTAGCACTTTGGTTTGGTAGGACTCCTTTACCTCAGTTTTGCTTGGTGGGTGTACCAGATAGTAGGTTCTCCTTCTGCACAGATCGTAGCACAGCTGATAGTTTGTCCCTCTTTCCTAACTATAATCTTGATGTTCTCAACTCTGAGTTCAAGTAAAAGTAGAATCTGTTAAAGAAAGTAAGTATTCTGCCTCCAGTTATGCTGGGGAGCCAAGTCAGGGCCAGCACAGTGCTCTCTTGTGTGACAAAAAGGCAATGGGCTCGTTTCTTCTGCATGCCTGAATTGTCCTTCATGAAGACCTGCCCTGCCAGCCTGAGCATGCAGCTCTAGGTGTACTTTTCACCGTGCTGGTTTCTGCTCTGCAGTCACCTTTATTTTCCTATAATAGTCTCCTTGTATTTCATGTACTCGGCTTTTCCTCCAATTCTGAACTTGTATCAAGGCACCTCACCACTTGTCAAATGTCCTGGCCCATGGATATATTTGTGGTGGGTACCTTTTGTTTGTTCGTTCTTCAATAGCTGCAGTCATGTGTGCACTTACCCAGGCCTTGTTCTGTTTGTGTCAAATACTCTTTCTGGTCTACCTGGTATTCACTTTGAAATGTTTGATAAATAGCTTTTTAAAGGAAGTGGAGAAAAACACTCAGAACTTTCTGCAAGTCCTGCCAGCACGCATTACCAGTGTGGTGAATAGAACAGAGCTTTCGAGCACTGCAGCTGAAATACCAGCTTTGGGTAAGTCGGTTTTCTGACCAAATTTGCTGCTTTCTTCAACTCTCTGACCCCAGTCCCATCTAAAATTTGAGCTAATGTACTTATCCTGGAACATAAAATCGTTTGAGTTGAAAGGGACCTTTAATGGTCACCTCATCCAATTTTACTGTAATGAACAGGGACATCTACAACTAGGCCAGGTTGCTATAGAGCTCCATTTAGCCCAATGTCTGTAACCATGGGGCATTCACCACCTCTCTGGGCAACCTATTCTAGTGCTTTACTACTGTTATTGTAAAACACTTCTTCCAGTCTAAATCTCATCTGTTGAAAGCATTTCCCCTTGTTCTATCATCAAAGAGCCTGCTAAAGACTCCATCCTCTTCTTTCTTATAGCCTCCTTTAGGTACTGAAAGGCTGCTCTCAGGTTTCCCTAGAGCCTTCTCTTCTCCAGGCTGAACAGACCCAGCTCTCTCAGCTTGTCCTCATAGGAGTGGTGTCCCATCCCTTGAATCATTTTTGTGACCTTCCTCTGGGCATACTCCAACAGGTCTGTGTCTCTCTTGTACTGAGGACTCCACATCTGGATGCAATACTGCAGGTGCAAGACCTTGCACTTGGATTTGTTGAACCTCTTGGGGTTCAGCTGGGCCCACTGATTGAGCCTGTGTAGGTCTCTCTGGATGGACCATGGCTTATGTTCAATCAGTATTTACTAATGATCCCTAATCAGGAGGGATTTTGGGCATCCCTACTGAAATTGGCATAAGGATGTTACAGAGGAATTGAGAATTCCTAGGACTTGAAATTTGAATGCTCTAATCCTTGTGTGACATATAGAAGGGTAAACCATTGGGATAATGTGGCTTTTAGAAAAAATATGCACAAGAGTAGGATCAAGTGTTTGCACTGTGGCCTTTTCTGAGGGTTGAACTGAGGGGCTCTTACATCCTTAAACTTTGGATTACAGCTGATGGCATTTGGTGTTGTTTGATAGAGTGGTGAAAGCAGTAGGCGTTCTCTGAACCTTTTAGAATGAGATCTCTCTTGTCCAGTTCCTGCTATCAGAGATGGAATGGCTCTGTGCTTCCATAAACGCTTCTCTGCTTCCTCTTCCCTTCCGACCCAAACTCAGCATGGTGAAGAAGCAGCCTTTCCCTGTCTTCCCAGACAACTGATAGTTTTATTTATCTTGTTTTCCTTCCTAAACTTCACCTTCCCACACACACGTGTGTGTAATACCTTCTCTTCCCTCCAGGAAAAGCCCGAGGAGCAGAGATACACTTGCTCCTGGGTCTAACTAGTCAAGCAGCTTCCTCTGCACATTCCCAGTGCTTTTATTCCAGCATAGTTTCTCCTCCCCTAGTCCTGCTTTCCACGCTCTGAATTTGCATTTAACTAGTTCCAGCCCTAAATATCTACCCTGCGCCATGCCACAGCCTGGAACAGATGCAGCCCAAATGATTGACCCCTTTCCCTTGGGCGGTTTGGCTTTGACTGCACAAAGCAGCCAATAAAGTGGAAAGGGCTGGGCAGCTGACAGGAGGGATTCGCTTAAGGCTGTATAGCTTTATGGTCTCAGGTAGAGGAGGAAGTTTGCTTAGAAAATGCAATCGCATTCCTCCTTTTGCTGCCAGCTCCTGATGACACATTTTTAGAAGTTGCCAACTGCAAGAATAATGTCTATTCGCCAGACACAGCTTAGGCTGGAGGCTGTTAGCTGTAACTCCAGTAACTGGAGCTGGAGCGTGTAGCAATGCAGGTCATGATCTCCCTTGTCTAGAAGTTCTCTGAGCAGACCCAACTGAAACCTCTGCTGAGATACTCTTTCAGACAAGGGTGAGTTCTCACTGCAGCTTGTCTGCTGAATCTCTTGACCTGCTTTGTGGTACATGTAGTATCCTTCTAATAAAGTGGATTTCTTTTTGCCCTTCTGATGGTGCTCTCTTGTCTGTTTTATTGTTTTCTCTGCAGCTGTTTTCTTCAAGGACCTCACACTACAGAGTCTCTTACTGATCCTCCCCTTCTCTCCCTTCATCCCATCCAAAACATGCAAGTTGTCTGTGCTTGTTTCTGGTCATTCCTAAAGGTATACTGACAAAATCTCCCTCAGAATGCAGCACAGCAGTCAAGTTAACATATCTTGGGGGACGCTTGTTGGTTTTATGTTTGGTATTTATTAGCTGTACATGGTGTGACACAAGCTGAGAAGTGTGATCAAACAGCTTCTTTTACTGTAGATTACACTGCCAACAAAGACTGCATAAAACCACAGATGATTTGATGTCCTTCAGTTTAACGGTGAGTGTTGAAGTCCAGCCCCCTTTACTCTTGTTTTGTTTTCCATGTGAGTTTCTCCCTCCCATACAATTACATCTCCTAGCTCCCAGAAATATCCAAAAGAAGGGCAACAAAGCTGTGAACGGTCTGGAGTGTCAGTGTTACAGGGAGCACCTGAGGGAACTGAGATTGTTCAGTCTGGAGAAGAGGAGGCTCAGGGGAGACCTGATCACTCTCTATAACTCCCTTAAAAGAGGTTGTAGTGAGGTGGAGTTCAGCCTCTTCTCCCAGGTAACAGCAACAGGACAAGAGGGAATGGCCTCAAGCTGCGCCAGGGGAGGTTTAGGTTGGATGGTAGAAAAAATGTCTTCTCAGACAGAGTGGTGAGGCGGTGGCACAGCTGCCCAGGGAGGTGATGTAGTCACTGTCCCTGGGGGTGCTCAAGAAACATGAAGATGCGGCACTCGGGGATGCAGCTAAATTGACATGGTAAGGATGGGTTGATGGTTGGACTGATGATCTTAGAGGTGTTTCCAACCTTAATGATTCTATAATTCTATTCTAAGTAGCTCCCAAGGATCCGGCTCTCAGACTGGGACCCTTCTCACCCACTTCCTTCTTTGTTCTAAAATGATTACATTTTCACCTACAGAAAGCAATAGACCTACTGGCCACGGAGCTGTCACTTCCTGTGAGATATGAAGCCTAGTTTCTAGTACTGGCTCCAGCGAGCACGTTTTTTGAACAGTCAGTTTCTGGATGAAGCACATAAGCAGGAATGCCAGCTCGACTCCCTCATTTCCAAGTGAGTTTGCATTGCAGTGACTACTCTTACTTAGCACTAGTGATTTATTCAATTTGCTTCAAACTACCATAGACTCGAGCAATAAGTTAGGAATCAGGTCAATTTGGACACAACAGCAAAGTGTAAAAAATAATAAAAGTGGACGTTATTTGTGCTCTGGAAGGCAGCCACAGAAATTTATCAACTCCTAGAAGTGCTGTGGCACAATCTGATTCTGCCCCACATAGACCAGCCATTGCAGTAAGCATGCTTCTTCTCCTGGCTCTTTTGAAGGTTGGCTGTGGTCTTAGTCCTGGAGTTACTGTGCCTCTATATTTAAAGTATTTTTCCTGACAGTTGAAAGTAATCAGTCTACCAGGAGCTGAGCAAACCCATGCTGAGCCCAAATGTGCAGCAGCTTTTTCTCACCTGCCGTGACTTCTAGTGCTAAATGCTTTTCCAGTCACACTGTGCTCTGCCAAACATCGCGTTTCCTCCAGATGCAGCTCTTCCAACCATGTGAAATCAGTGAGAGTTCCTCAGTGTTTTATATTTTCTTCCTGGCATTCAGGCCATTCACCAAGGCATATAAATAAAAGTGCTGGAAGGCCCCTGTCTGTATGAATGTTCGCTGCAAGTAGCTTCTCAGGATGGTGGGACCTGCCGATTGAAATGAGATCAGTCCCTGTAGTTTAGTGGTGGATAAAACAGTCATGGAGGAAAAATATCCTTTATAGACACTTGGAAATGGTCTGCTGACATATTTTGTTTAAATCTCAGTGCACCAAATTTGACTACTTCAATGAATTTCCAGAGGGCAATGCATGGACTAAGAAGTCAAACGGTGCCTTTTCTTGCCTGTGTCTCAGTCAGAACTGTCCTGGGAACCTCAGAGCTGGTGCAACCTGTCTCCCACGCTGCCCCTTCAGCTGACCATTACGAACTTGGAGATTTCCAGGCTCTCTACACAACTCACCGCACCAGATGCTGGTAATCTTAGCAACACTAGAAATCAAGCTGTACGTTCTGTGTTCGTTACCCTGTGACTTGCTGCTTAACAGCTGCAAAACAGAATGCATTTGCATGAATTTGCTGGTTGGGGATGGTCAGTGGAGGGCAACTGCTTCACAATCTCAGTAATTTTCAGCATTTTCTGCATCCTCAACTGGTTCTCCTGGGATGATCACTTTCTTTAGAAATACTACTCCGAAGCCTGAAAAGATTCAGGTTGCAAATTGGTGAGGGAACTATTTTCTGGCGAAGTCTAGTTGCCTTTTTCTGACATGTCCAGTCTGGTCACAAGTGGAGAAAAGACATCAAGCTACACCCGATCCAGTGCTGTGCTTAGAGTAGAAAGGATATAGCCTTTAGCTTGCTTCATGTGCATGTAGTACAGGTCCAGGGCTGATGTAAGAATGCACGGCAGTGAGACCAAGCAATAGAAGCATTTGGAGCTTGCCAAGTATTGATCAGTGAGGGGTGGGAATGAGCAGAGAAGCATTTCAATTTGGCATCCATACATGATTCTCATGCTGTCAGAGTGAATTAGCAACACTTTCTTTTCCCTGTAACCCATCCCAGGCTTTTGTCATTGAAGCCTCCCTTTTGTTCATATCTCTCTGTTGAAAGACAAAGTGGGAAAAAAAAAAAAAAACCAACAAAGAAAACCAAACAAATCAACACACAGATCTTGTGCCCCTAAAAAGTCTGGTTATGTTATGCTAGTATCCTCTGAATGGAGACTGAGTAATACTGAGCCATTGCTGCTAAAGACTGTTACAGCATAAATATAGGGGATTCAAGCTACAGTTATCATTTTGTACAGTCACTTAGTCCACTAATGGGGAGAAACAGGGCAACAGTTTAAGAAGGCAAGAGGACTGTCAGAGATTATTAAATCTACAGGGATGATTTGTTTTGGTAGCCTCTCCTGACCCAAGTACACACTTTGGCAGCAGACTTAATGCCTCTGGTAATTAGAGCAAGAAGTGATGGGTCATCATTAGCAACTGCAAATTAAGTGGCGTATTTCATCTGAAAGGCAGCATCATCTTCAATGGGGCTTATTTGTTACCACTGCAGATCATCTGTGAGTCACAAGCAGTACACTGGGCTAACTCATTTGTGTGATTTAGTAGAGGCTTTCTAATGCGTGCCTACTGTTCCATATGAGTAGCTGTTCCAGATAGCTTCAAAACAGAAAATACCACAATATTGGACTTTCTTGTACAGCTAATACTACTGTTCTTATTTACACGATGCTCGTGATTTTTTTGTTGTTGTGCACTTCATGGTTCAAATGCTTTTTGACTGCATGCTTGAAATATATTTGTCATCTTCATAGAACTAAAGAGTGAAGGAAGGAAAGCCAGACAAGCATAGAAATTATCCGTAATTGTCAGCTTCAGAAGATACAAGAACCAATCCAATACAACTCAAGGTATATATTCACCAAATACTATTGTGTGGGCTTCCCAGAACCACAATCATATCCAGTTCTGAATGTTGCTAAAGGCCCAAACAGAGATGACCTATCACAGGATCAATAAAGTTGGAGATCTTAGGAAATCCTTAAATACTCTTAGAAGCATATCAATAAGCAACTGAGGTTACAGGTACAAAACAAAAGAGGTACGGAGGAAACTGGCCACAGCGAATGCTGTTAGAAGGTGCTACGTGGGCACTGAAATAAAACAAAGGGGGAGTGTGTAATACAGCTGAATAAATTCAAAATAATTTACATAGATCAGCAGGGAACTATGACTGAAGATATTGAAGCCTGGATCGGAAATGCAGGTGAACAGCTGGATAAACCAATGGATGCTCATCAAGCAGAAACTGGGGGACTGTCAGTGGTCAGCTAGCTATGTATAAGTGAAGACCTCCTGAGGGACATCCTCATGCCATATTCTTCTCTATAGGGAGAGGGAGCTGGGGATGTCTAGACCCTCTTGGAGAAGTGCTTACAATGGAAAGTGATGATAAACTTGAAGTGTTTTATTGTATACAAGAAAAATGACCAAACCCATGCTTTTTGTGTATCTGCCAGCACCTGTGACTCCAGACAGCTGTCACAAGGAGAGACCTAATAGGTACAAGGAAGTGAGACTGGCTCCTTGCTTCCTAATACATACCTGATGTTCTGGATATTGAAGTAATGTATGGTACTGCTATGGAAGTTATCTTTGTGCATACAGCACCTGAGGGGGCACGAGGGAGTTAATGTATTACTGACATATTTTTAGATAAATCTGACCATTTGTAAAGCTCATTTTCCTCCTTTGCACACTGTTTGAACTAATTCCATCTAACACAGCCTACTTGTTTTGGATCCTGTCTTTTCTCTGATCTTCCTAGCAGGGCTCTCACACCAATGGCCCCTCAGGTGGAAGACATCCAGTAAGTCTTGAAGCTAGAAATGATGAGGTAGGATTCCTGAAAATAGAGGGCTCCATCTCCCAAGGAGACAGGTTTGGGAGCCCTGGGCAACCTGGCCTAGTACCAGATCTGGAGGCTGGTGCTCTAGCCCTGTGACAAGGGGGTTGGAACTTGTTAATTTTTGGGGTCCTTTCCAACCCAAGCCATCCTGTGATTCTATATGTCTTTTTGAATATTCCCCAAGTCTCTTGGCAAAAAGAGAAAGGCAGCTTTGGTGCCGGGGAGGCGCGGAGGGAAATTTGATTTGTAAATTCTGGGAGATTGGATGTCCTCAGGTATTGGTTCTCCATTAATGTACTTAGCATTCAGCTCTTAATAAGAAATGATGATCACAAAAGATACACAGCAACGAAAGAGCCTGCTCTGGGATTCTGAGATAGCACCCAGTGCCTATGGATGTGCTGCTATTTGCTAGCTGCTGTGATGATAATGTCAGCCAAGGGATGTCAAAGTTCAATTTGCGAGGGAAATAAAGTAAAGCGTGCCTTCCCTGGTAAGGAAGCAGCATTGGATCTCATCCATATACTCCATCATTCCTTTCCATGTGCTGATGTAACCCTTTTTTTTAAAAGCCAGCAACCCTCACTGGATCAATAAATCCTGATCAATTGTTTTTCTCACTGATTTATCCATGCAGGGTTGTTAGCTGAGCTGCTGTCAGAAAGTGGGAGAGAGTGTTCTGCCTGTTTACTGTAAAGAAAGCAAAGCAAGCAACCAGGAGGGGACGGGCAGCAGGATATTTACTGTCAATACAGCTGGAGAGAGGCAGGAGATATAAGGAGAGAGGAACCGAGACTGAAGCCTGCAACCCAAATGAATGATCAGAGTGTAAAAACACCCACACCGTTTCCAATGGAAAATGTGTGGATTGAAGTCAACAAAGGATAACTGGCAGTGTTTGACAAATGGTTTAATGAAGGGCTAGAGAGGCAGGGAAGTACTTGTGGTGCACAGAATGATAATGCTGTGCATGAACCTACTCGGTCTGCAGTGCAACCTGAAAGGATCTGCCGAGACAAAGCAGTAACTGGGACATTTGTGGGTGTGCCTGCATGCAAGACGTACCATTTAAGAGTAATCATAGCAAAAATAATAATGGTCAAGTTTAGAAAATAATAACTGGAGCTAATTTTCCTAAGAAGTTGGGCTATTCAGGCCAGAGGGGGGGGAAAAAAAAGGCATATTTTCTTGCTTCTCTCTCCATTTCTTCATGCACAGAGGAATTAGGTGGCTCTGAGCAGCTCTCTCTGAGTGTCCCTCCTGTTTCCAGATGCAGGCGAACAAAAGTGAAGAGTGAATTCACACTTTAGAGAACAGTGACGACCATCTTGCCATGAAACCATTCACAGATGAAGAAGTAGAAATCTACATCCAGAGCAAGGTAAGGCTTTATCTGTCCAGATTTTCTGTCTCCCACACTAGGTGTTGATTCAGAAGGGTGCCAAACTTGACAGTTAGTTGCTTGCCTTCTGTCTTCGTTTTTTGAGACATGACTGGGTGAAGTTTTATGAGAACTGTATTTCTAATGAGATTTCTAGGTTTCTGTTGCAGAATGTTATCAGGGATCTTGGCCGGTAGCCTTGTTTTCTGAGTTGCATGTTCTCTTCTATATCTTCATATTTCCTGAGTTTTTGTTCCCACTCTCACAATTCCAGATGTGAGATGAGCTCTGATCACTAGCACTTAATCTAGCGAGAAGCCCTCACCTCTTTCCTTGTCCAGTGGTCTTGGATTGACAGATACAAGACCAAAGCCACAACAGCAGGGGCTGATTCTTAAAATGATGCATGCAGGAATTGGGGGGAGGTGAAAACAGCTTGAATTCTCCCATTTTCTGTCACCTCAGCTGAGGATACTTCACACAACTGAATAGCATGTCTCAGTACAGGCAGGTTGGAGATACATTTTCTATTTCGTAGAGTTATTCCTGCACTGTGATATTTTTCTCCAGTATGAAATGAAGTAAAACAATAAAAATAATCAATAAAACTGTACATTCTATGAAAAGGGATTCTAAATGAGCTGTAATATATTGTTTTTTTAAAGCTTGTGCTTCATCATGATGCTTAGCTAACTTCTATCTGATTGTCTGTTTTCCATTACAAAATGCAAGACACTGAAATGAAAAATGATTTCCAAGTGGAAAGCTGTAAGTCCTACTTTCAGAAAAGGATGAAATATTCTAATACCATCAAAGGGCTGGTAACAAATGTTCGTTTTTTTTCTATGGAAATATTTTGGTGACAAGTAATCAAATGCCTTTGAGAGCTTCCATTTTCACCTATTCAGTGTTTTGCATTGGAAGAGCATTCCATCAGAATCTATTCAGTGAGCTATAACAGTGAACCATTCTCTAAGGACTTGTAGAGCTATAAAAGAAGGAACGGAGGGAAGCCGTGCACAAGGGAGATGCTCGTACAGCTGCCATGTGTACAGAACAGAAGTAGAGCCTTGTTCTGAGGCTCATAGAAGCAAATGTTTTCCTTTTTAACTGAAAATTTGTTTTCTAGCAGCCTTCCAGCTCTGATGGCTTACTGTTACTAGTTTCTTCCTGTAGCAATGAATCTCTGATACCAATGACTTCTTCCTTAACCCACTCATCCAGTAAAGGAAATATGCGAGTGCATACTTAGTGCAGGTGATTGGGAAATTGAAAGCAAACTAAAACATTCTTCACAACTTCCAGTCAATCCTAGTCCTTTTTCTTTCCTCCATAATGAAGCCTTAATCAACCTTGTTGTTCTGGCAAACTTCTGAAGTCAACACTTGGTAATGGAAACACCAATAGGTGGTAGAAATGGCTGTCTGATGAAGAACTGTTTCTGACTTCTTTCCCGATGTGTTCATGCTGGTGCTAAACACATTAGATAAATGCCTTGGCCCTTCAGGAATTGGTTTCACTTGCTTATATTCTGTCTTCTGATGTTTATGGCTTCCCTTCTGTAGGAAGGTTCTACTTTGCAGTAGCAGACTGGGTAGGTATTTGGAATTAGCTGTGGGTAACACATGTCTCATGTCATTTGTTCTTCCATCCTTGCCTCAGTGATGAGGACCTACATGCAGACAGAGTTGTTTAGTGGTACCTCCCTGAAGTTTTTAGAGTCTGTACTGTCCTAAGACTTTGTGGCAACAGTTGAAGTTCAGCAAGTAGGCAATGAAGGTGCAATTAAATAAGGCCATGCTAGGTTGGATGGATTCTTCCAGGATGCCAGAAAGAGAAGGAGGTGTTTCTGACAGGTAGCACTCAAAGAGAACACAGCATGAGGAAGGAGTACAAGGGGCAGTCCTGGAGCTCAGCTTGAGCCAACCAACGGTGATGATACACTTTAAACAGTTTATTTGTAGACTCTGAAAGCTCTTAGGGGAGGATAACTCACTGTCACTCATAACATTTACTTGTTGAAGGAGCCTTTATGTGTCTTGTTGAGCAAGTCAAGTTCATTGGACTGCTCTAAGAACTAAGGCATTCATCTGGACTAGTGAAAGAAAGTAGCTATAGCTACAGGTGGATACGTGTATTACGTCTGTATTAGATACACACGTAAGGGACTATGTGTTGTTACCATAGCAAAAAATCAGGATGCCAAAGGTAGATGAGAGTCTGGCCAAGGGAATATAATACCACTCTCTCGACGTGTTTGCCCCTTGTAAATACTGTAAAGGCTTAGTAAAAATACTGTTACCTATCATAGAATCACCAAAATTGGAGAAGACCACCAAGATCATCTTATCCAACCATCCTCCTACCACCAATATTTCCCTACTAAACCATGTTCCTTAGTACAACATCTAAGTGCTTCTTGAACATCTCCAGGGTAGGTGACTCCACCACATCCCTGGGCAGTCCATTCCAGCACCTGATCAACCTTTCAGAGAAGAAACTGCTCCTAACCTGCAACCTGAACCTCCCCTGTCACAACTTGAGGCCATTCCCTCTATTGCTAGTTACGTGGGGATATGGGGCTGACCCCACCTCTTCACAACCTTCTTTCAGTCAGTTGTAGAGAGCAATAAGGTCTTCACTGAGCCTCCTCCAGACTGAACAATCCCAACAACCGTTTTTGTTGGCTGAGAAAGGAGAGGAGTTTATTCCAACTTTCCAATTGCTCTTCCTTGGATAACTGATCCTAGGCAAGCAGTTATCCATTCTTCGCTTCAGACCTTCCACTGAAATATTTTTTTTTTTATAAATAATTGCACTAATGCTGCTTGAATTGAAGGACCATCTACCAGGTCACACACACTCCCAGCCCTCAACGGGAACATCTTTGGCAAGATACCTTGTCACCGTCTAAGCAGGGACCCTGTATTAAGATATGAAGATAGTATGGATATTTTCACTGTACTACACTGTTGCCACATATAGTTGCAGTCTGATTAATGCATGAGTTATCTGTTATTCTTGTAGTCTTGCCAGCTCTTGGAGCAAAAAGTAATCCGACTCAGAGTGGCTCTGCAAGGGGAATAACTGGCTGTCCTGGATCAAAATGGGTGAAAAACAAGGCTGCAGTTAATTGTTAGCAAATTCATCCATGTAATTAAATCCTTCTCTTCCATTCACTGCTATGGCGTAAAAATATCAAATAATCCTTTATAGTCTTGAATTTTGCCTTTCAGTGTTCATCAGAAAGAGCTCTGTCTCATGGTAAGTTGACTGTAATCTAAAAGGAACAAGATTTATTCCCATTGCAGCATAGGCACATATGTTTCAGGGTTCACCAAACTGATTGTTCTTACCACTGGAGACAAAGACTGCAGTTATCTCTAATATGAAGTGTCTTTCTTGGAACTGACAGGTGGAGCCACGCCATTATCTGGTCTCCAAAACGGTGGAGGAGGTGCAGAAAATCATCCAGCAACTGACCACAGAAATCAGCTATAAGGCCACACGATTCCAGGCTATCTCCAACTCTGGCATTCACAATGAGAATATTAAGGTATGGACAAGAGATCTAGTGTAGTGTCTGTAGTTTGTATGGCAATCAGTCAGTGATTTTCCATTCTGCAAGTGTATGGACAGGTACCTCCAAGTAAAACACCACGGAAGATATGCTGACATTTCAGTGTGGGGACTGGCTGAGTCATAAGAACGTACTTGTGGGCATCTTAACACTGGAGGTGTATCAGAGAGGGATGGGTAAATGAGGCAGAGTCTCTTTTTACAGCTGCTGCTTTTACAAAGAGACGCTGTTGCCAGAGCTGTCAATCTGCACACAGAAGCCAAAAGACAGGAGAAAAAAAAAGTACTGCAGTAACATTAAAAGGAAAAAATGCCCATGCCTCTATGAGCTATGACTCGTATTTTTCACAGGTGAAAAACCTGTCAACTCACTAAAAAAAACTTCAGAATGCTTTCTTCTGCTGTGAACATAAAACGCTTCTTCAGAAAAATATATTGTTTTTTTCTTGGTCATGAATTAGAACTTCTTTTTCCTGGAAAGAAACATGCTTATTAGTGGGAGAAGTCATTTTAGACCATCAGATACCAAAACAACAGTGTCCTGTCCCAGACGTGACAGGAGACTGATTGTTTTCTTTGACTGTTTAACACAGCAATAATGACTATAAGGGTATAAGTAATAACTGATAGCAATGGCAACTTCAGATGAAAATGATCCTTCTCATCTGAAGTAGATTGCATACTCTAGTTATGTCAACCCATACACTAAAATGCAGCCTCTTATGGATAAATGCACATTGTGTGAAAGCATAAGGCAACTTTTGTAGCTGTCTACGATTGAGAGGGAAGAATTCTGGGTATGAAGCTGCTTGACGGGCATGGGGGTGGAGGCAGCATAGGGTCATCCAGGCTGAAAATTGGCTGTTGCTCTGCGGATAAACACATTCAGATTTACATTGGCAGATGTGGCTTACGAGGACTGACAAAACCAGGGCCAAGGTAAAATGGCTGTTCTGGAAAACAAAACAGAACAAAAACAAGGCAACCTATTCTGATCGGTAGAATCAGAATGGCATACTGTAGCCTGGTCTGAACACCCTCAGCTTAAAAGAAATTCCTGAAACATATTTTCTTAAAAAATGGCAGATTTGTTACTTAACCCAGTGCTATAAGTCAATGGCAATCACACTTGGAGGGCTGGCTGACTTTGTGCTGTAGGCATGGGGCAGCAAAGAATGGGTTAATAAGAAAATGTTTTTGACTTGGTCTGTTCTGCTTACAAAAAATAGAATCTTTAATATCGTTGTTGAGATAACTCACCCTAGAGGAGATTTGTCTCAAGGGAAAGTCAGTATATTAACAATTCTGTGTTTAATTTTGCAGCATCTTTTTTTTTTTTTTTTTTCTGTAAATTAAATTTATGGTGACTTTTCAGAACTTCCAGTTTCTGGTTAAAAGGATTTAATTTAACTTGATGCAGAGTGTAGATTTGTTGAGAAACTATACAAGCCTCCTTTTAGATACACAGGGCTATGTGGGGAATTTAACAAAGTTTTTAATACTCAGTGTTGTTTTATTTCTGCAACTCAGGGGCAGAAGGCCAAAATCTTTAAGAGAACTTGAAATAAAACTCAGAGAGACCAAATTAAATAGCTCACTTTTTTTACAGCTTCCAAGTTGTGGTCCATTGGTTTTTTTGTAGCTGCCATCTGTGCAGTTCTGGTGCAAAGGCTGCGGAGGCTTCGATAAAGATGTAAGGAGCAGGTTAACATCCAGAGTAATTCCTAGTACAGCACTGGCCAACCACATTGCCAAGCAGTCAGCTCTGTAATGCTGGCAGGGGAGATTTCTTTCCTTTAGCAAAGAGGCTTGTAGTACACTTGCAGCTTTTCTTGGTGAATGAATGACCTGCCACATGCTTTCTCTCTGATCTGTGTGATTCTCGTTTTCCTCTCTGCTGCTCTCAGGATCAGCCAGGCTTACTGGCCAAGTGGTCAGCTCTGCTGCGGGGAAAGCGCCCGTTCCACCCATCCATCCAGGTACAACACCCTCCTGGTGCCTGCTTCCTCCTCACCCATCCTCTTCTCCAGACGATTCATCCTCCTAACTTGTCCTCCCATAGCTATCTTAGTCTTTCTGCAAGAAACTTTATTTATTGCTTGTATTTCTAACCTAATGCTTCCACTTGCCTGAGATATCCTGGCTGCACTTAAATTAATCAACATGCTGCAGGCAGGTTTTTAATGCAACAGGATTGGCTACAGGTTATATGCTGCAGAACCGAACGCTCCTGGATCACGGCCTGTGACTTGTTTGGGTCCTGAAGTCTGGCTCTGGCATGCAAGCCTGGTGTGACAGAGCATGGGTAGAGACCTGGGGTTTGTTTAGGCCTTGAGGACGCTAGCTGCACAGCTGAATTTGGTATGAGTATAACCTCTCAAAGTGGTGTTGGAGCCTTGTCAAACAGCATACACTTGCATAGGGTCCAGATCTGCATTATACCCCAACACCTTTCTCCTTTTGCCTATATCTGGACTGTTGTTTCCCAGCCCTTCTGGCATGTCCTTTTGATTTTGAGGGGGATGGCAGCCACCCTCTTACAAGCTGGTTTTGTTATGGGAAGGAGCACGTCTGGGGCTGAGCTGAAATGGAGGTCCATGGGTGTGGGTAGGAGCCCCAGAAAGCCTGCTTGGAGCCATTAAGGTCTTGTCAGTGCCCTCCGGGCCTCGGCACCTCTGCAGTAACATTTTAAATCCTAAGTTACACTGAAGACTATCTATATGCTTGGGATTGTTTCTGGAGAATGATAAGGGTGCTTAATTGACCTTGAGGTAACCACCTTCCAGCCTTTCAGCAACTGCTGTCACCACATCTTGCTCACACAGCTCTTTTACCTGCTTAATGTCAGTGTAAGTAAGGCTTGGACTCGACAGAAGTTGAAAAGCTTCAGAGTCAACATAGGAAAAGTCTGAATGGATTTGGAAACCAACACCTGCAGCCAAGATTGCCAAATACTTCCAAACCTGCCAATTCTGGCTGTGTCCTGAACCTGTATGAGGTTTTCTGAAATTCTGTGTCACCTTACTCACTCTGCAAATGCCAGTTGAGCACTGGTTTGGTTGGAGAATGGTTATCCTCAAAGCGAAGCTGATTAATTGTTTTGCAAACAAGCTTGCTTCTGGGTGTTATCCACTGATCATTTTTCCATCCTTACTCTGCTTCTTGCTTCTGCTCAGTGAGAGATGCAGCCTCATACAGCACTTTCCAAAACCTATTTTTGACAATGCCACTGCCTGTGTAGGCTCAGGCATGTCACTTGCCTTGATGTCTATGTCTCCTTAATGGAGGATAGATGTTCTAGTCAGGCAGAGTGAAATGCCTGTAAAATGAATGGGCTGTGGACTTATTCTACTAATGTCATTAGTGGGTTTTGGAAAAGATCCAGAAAGTGTACTTTTGACGTAGCTGTGGAACTGTGGAACTCCAGGCTTATCTCTAGTAATGGCTCTGAGTTAAGAACTTGAACTATTTTGTTTCCCATTGCTGAATCTCAGAACAAGCTCTCTGATGCTCTGCTGCACCTTGGAAGCTCTTAGTTATTACATTTCGTACAATTGCAGACTAGAAATAACAAGGAGTGGGGAAAACTATGGCAGATGTGGTGGCAAACCAGCCAGAGTGTGCTCTTGTCTTCTATGGGCCACGTCTGTCACATCAGACTCCTAAAGGACAATTTCCTCTTACTCCGTGTACCTCCAAGGTAAATCTCAGACAGGTATGGAACAGGTCCTGGATGTGTTCAATCATTCCCATTTTACCATATTTTTTCTTTCCCTTCAAAGCCTCCGTTTGCACGTGTTACTTCCTTAACCCTCATGATCACTTGATCTGCCCTTGCCTGTATTCCTAATCTCTCTAAACTCTCCTAGGTCTTAGCACCGAGCCAATTCCTCATCACTGTCCCTCTACGTGGCCTAACTGGGTACAGGGAAAAACAGGTCCGACACTGGCGTTATTACACTGTGCACGGAGCCAAGCTACTCTCCTCTGTGCGGGACCCTGAGGAGCTGCATCAATGGCTCGAGGTGGAACAGTTCTCAAAAAGCCTTCAGCAGTGGCATGAAACAGATGTGAACATTGAAGGTGACCTGGTTCCAGCCAAAGTTCTTATCGTCTTCCGAGAGCTGGTGGAAAAGTCAATTGTTTCCTGTAACCTCTCCAGTGAGTTTAGTGGGGATGGGTATAAGGGGAACTGGCTGTCTTCTGCAGCTAGCAGAGGGGGAACTACTATGTACACAAAGTGTTTGTGTCATTCACATAATTAGAAGTTAAAAAACAACAAACCCTCCCAACGTCAGGGAGCTTCTAACCCATTGCAGTGGTGCAAATTTAGACCTGCACTGAAGACAGAATTAAGTAGACCTTGAGTTCTTCAAAATGGTGCTCTTCTTTTGGGAACTTGGGTAAGTTCTCCACCAACATCACCCTCAACCAAGATGCAACCCAGATTTTCAAAGCAGTTTGGGATTTGGGGGAAAAAAAATCTTTTTTCTGCTACAGCAGCTGCAGTATAACTTGACTAGTCAGAAAGATGCTGCAGGAAAAATTGCATACAGAGTAAAGTGTGTAAGCTGGAGAAGTGTTTGAAAATATGAATAGGGCAGGTAATATTCTAGGGAAGACTTAGGTGCCCATATCTTTCCAGTATGTAGAAGGTCTTGAAAAAAAGTCTGTTGAACAAGTGTTCCATGTTCCCCAGTGCCCAGACTATTCAGTAGGTATCATGGAAACTTGTATCATGGAAACTTGCTTTCAGTAGTGATGCTGATTCCTCTGTAAGCAATTCCAAAGTGCCTGTGTATATCCTGTGGCAATTTGTACTGGAAGTGCTGACATAATGCAATCAGTGGTGCATGCAACATGCCTTCATAGCTGCGACATCTGCAGCAAAATGCTGCCTAAACAGTGATCCTCATATTTAATTCTTAGCATCCTAAAGGCATGTTATAGACTGCAGCTAATGAACACATGGCTTCATCCAAGCTGAACGGTTTATGTTCATCTTTTCACATTAAGATACTGTGACATGGTCAAGTTCAGACTACGGTGCTTTTTCTCACATCATATTTGCAGAACGTCTTTACCCATCAGCAGCCTGAAATGGGTCTTCCATATTCTAGAAATATAGACGTATTTCACCTCCTCTGATGGCACTTCAAATTTTACTCACAGGAGGAAAGATGTTAAAGTCAGGTTCAGCTAGATGATTGCATTCTTCCAGCAACTGTTTGTTATTACTGAAAGGAAAAGAAGGATAAAATGTCACCATTAAGGCTCATAGAGAAGAACATATGGAAAGGGCTTTCATCTGAAGCTTTACTTATGTGGAAGTCATCGTGCTGAGGTGAAAATCTGCCACTGTGTCTAGCTGCAGCTCATCAAGGTGTTGAGCCAGAATAGGTGCTTCCAAGGGGTGGCTGATGTCTGGGCTGATGATTGTCTTTCCATTTTTGTTAAGGTCAGCTAGAAGGGAATGGAGACAGAGGACATGATCTGACTTAGGATGCTTTCTTTTCTCTTTTTTTTTTTTTTAAATGCATGTGTGAAGAATGAACTTAATCCCATGGAACATCTAAAGTTACATAAAAACGTCTCCAGTGTCATTGCTTCTCTGTTTTTTTTAATTCTTTGAGAACCAGCAAAAACAGAGTTCTTGCGTTGCCTCACTTGCCGTTGGTGGAAAGATAGGCAGCACGGTTGTGATACTTATGGAAATGCTGTGAATTTATTTAAGTGCTGACAAAGCTATGGCTTTAATGCTTTTCAGCTGCTTGGTCTCTCTGCTGAGATCTTGGGAGAAGTATAGCTCCTGTTTTGATGCCAGGCTTGGCTCAGTGGGGAAATAACACCCAGATTTACTGATGTTTATAAAGTTATACTGGAGATGGACTCCACTGTGCTTTCTGGAGGAGATGCTAAATTGCCATTAGGACTAGGTGGATATTTCTTTGGTGAAAATAGAAGTTACCATCCTAAACATTCATCACTGTCCCTTCAAGTCTGCTGCATGAACTCCTTTTGGAATTGGAATCCCTAAGCCAGCATCAGTCGAACTGAGGTGGATTAACACACAATTACTTAAACTGCTTATGGTAATCTGCTCTGTATTTATTTCAATGGGTTAGAGGATGATCACATCATTGGCTTGAACAGCAAAACTGAAGGAACAGTGATCCATCCAGAATGACAGGGAAAAATGGGGACAGAAACTTCCTTCATGAACACAGTTGGACCAACATTGACCATGTTTAGTTTTTCCTCTGCTCTCATTCCTTTGGGCAGATTGAAATAAGCTTTCTCTTGCATTCCACTTATGTCATTGAAGAGAGTGCTAAGACAGCAGTGGAACTGCAAGTCTCAATTTGGACACGGGCACAACACAGCCCCTTGCTTGGCTTGAGGAGAGGATCTTTTCACCTTTATCACCTCTCACATTGTTCCTTCACAGGTAAAGTGACAATGTTGGAGAGCTTCAGCTCAGTGGTTCGAGTGGCTGTGGAAACATCAGAATTCCAGGTTGAGGTGGAGCTGGCTCCTACAGTGGAGATTCCAACTTGCTGGCCTGAGAAAGCCCGGTGGCCTCGTTGCCTCAAGCGTTGGCCATCTCAGGAAAAAGTGCAGTGCATCAAGGTGAGCAGTGCAAAAACAACTGTAAAGTCTGTGCAGAACTTTACTTTGCAGGTATGTGATAGTGGTTTGGAAGGCTGCAGAGAATATTTCAAATTATTTGGATTTTATTGAGAATTTCTTTCCTTAATGATGGTGAATTCTGTGGAGGGAAAACTGATTTAACATCTGTTGCATGAGTTTCTTGCAAATAGCTTTGGCTATTTAGCTGAGTGCATTTTTTCTTGCTGTTTTGCTTTGTCTCATGTAACGTTTCTGCAAGTGGGGCACTACCTCAACATTTTCCTTTGGCAACAGACCAGTCCTAGTTGCCATTATCCCACACATCGAGTTCTGCCTTCCAGTCTTGCTTGCTCCCCACTTGCTCAGGACCTGCTGCTCTATGGCAAAGTGCCTGTAGAGTTGTGCCTCAGCTTTAGTAGCACTGTTTGTACCTGGCATCTCTAGAGCTGAATCTCCCAGGAGTAACCGATGTCACCACATGAGGAAAGAAAACAAATTGCTTGTTCCATCAAGGAGTTACAATGGGAAAATTAACCATGTTTGCTGCCTCTGCTAACATACAGCCTCTCTGTAACATCCCTCTGCATTGCTCAGAGAAGTCTGCCTCTGATCTGGTGACACACTTTCCCTTTTGCCCATAGTCGCTTGGTTTTGACCTTTTGGCCCGCTCCAATTATCACTGGCAGCTGTGCTTCTCCCGTGCTGAGCATATACTCATGGAAGGCCTCGACGAAGATGGTGGTTGTCGCATGAAATGCTTCAGAGTCATGAGGCAGATGAAGGAGGACGTCTGGTGTGCTGGAAATAAGCCCGTCATCACAGCTTATCATCTTCAGGTAGGCATCACCATGATATCGAGATACGGTCTCAGTATCTGTTACAGGGGAATGACGTTCATAATCAGGAAATCTGAAAGACCTGACTGGAAAAACAGCACTATTTTTCTTGCTTCTGGAAACTCCACTCTAACAACTGCCTGTAGATCTTGCAGAAGCGGCGGTGGTGCTGATGGGAGATAACTGCTCTGCAAACCTCCAAGGAGTAGCTCTTAGTAAGCTCCAGCTTGAATTCCTCGCCATGTCTTTTGTTCCCTGGCAACATCAAAAAGATTTTGTGGTTATTGCAGCTATGAATAAAATTTGCTCACAATTGAAAAGCTATCTGAGAAGAAATTCCCCAACACTACAACTATTGCAAGGCCAAGTGGAGGGGGAAAACAGGCAATCTAGAAAATAATGCCTTATTTTGATGAAATTCTTCACTTTGAGGAAGCAGAGGAATTGAAGGCTGTAGTTCAGCCATGTCTCACAGCATCTCTTGGAGGTCTCTTTGGGGCACTGAATTTGAAAAAGAAAATTTGAGTTAAGAGAACACTAAGAAACAGAGTGGAATTCTTGCACCCAAGATCAGTGACTTTTTTGTTTTAGAAATGATTTTCAGGTTGATGAAGATGGTCAATATTGCTTTTTTTGGTACAATAACTGTAAGTACATTCAAAAAATTCTTCACAAACAGAAAAGCCTGTAAAAATGCAATATGGGCAACATGAAAATAATGTTATGAGAGCAATAATCATATGGAATTCATTTTTTAATCTATTGATTTCTCTTTTTATGCAGATAGATAGTGATAGGACAAGGGGGATGGATTTAAACTAAAAGAGAGGAGGTTTAGGTTGGATGTTAGAAAGAAGTTCCTCACTCAGAGGGTGGTGAGGCGCAGGAACAGGCTACCCAGAGAACCTGTGGATGCTGCACCCCAGAGACATTAAAGGCTAGGCTTCATGGGTTCCTGGTCAGTCTTGATTAAGCAGCTGGCAACGATGGCTACAGCAGGGGGCTGGAACTAGTTGGTCTTTGAAGTCTGTTACATCCCAAGCCATTCTATGATTTCACATGAAATAAACTTGGAGGAAGAGGTCGTAACACATGCTGTATTTTGTGTCAGAAGAAGACAGGCAAGAGTTGCTTGGAATCCCAGTGTATCCAGAAAGAAAATGTGTGTGCATCTTCAGCACAAGTATGGCTGAAGCTAACAGCTATGCTCATAAGATTATTATTCTCTCCCTCCTTGCACTTCTACACTTCTACACTTATATAATAGGCCACTTTCTACAGCTTAAAACACCTGGCATATCTGCAGAGGTCCCTGGCCTTTGCAAATCCTCCTTCCCTGCCTGTTCTGGCCATCTGTGCAGGATCCTTGGTAAGTCCAATGAGGTTTGCAAGGCAAAGGAAAAGGGACAGCCAAGGGAAGGTGAAAGGGCTCTCCCTTAGGCTGCTGGTTGTGATCCCTCTGTTACAGAATCATTAATGCAGGAAGACTGCAGTGCGAGGCTCTCCAATTTCCAAGGCTGTCAGCCACTTACCAGCACTCTAAGTGCCTTAGCAAGCTGTGTGAGCCCTTAGCAGAACCTTTAACACCTCTTCTTTCCCATCTGCTTCTTGCAGACAGTGCTATTCTGGACGTGCGAAAAATACCCACGCACCAAGGATTGGCGCTGCTTTCATGAAGCCTTCCTGAGGCTGGTGCAGAAACTGCACAAGTGTGTGAGCCAGCACTTCCTCAAGCATTACTTTGTCAAGAACACCAATCTGCTCAAATATGCCAACACCAGTGACCTGGATGTGGTGGCCACCAAGCTCGCTGTCTTCCTAGAGAACCCCGTCTTCTGCTTGGACTAAGGCTGAAGAAAGCTTCCTCACCTCAACTTTGAGCAGTTTCCCACTTGTTCTCATTGGTGGTGTTCTTGTCCTTCCAGTAGGTGTTGCAGCTGGCTTTCTGAAGCAGTTGGCACTGATGGCATGAACAAAATGTCAAGATTGCGGTGGTGGGTGGAGAAAACTGATGGAAGGCATTGCTTGATGCCCAGCCGATCTAATTTGCTTTCAACAGCAACAGCTTGCCTAGAAGCTACAGCCCATGAAACTCAACCCTGTGTCTGTCAGAGCAGCAACTGCCTTATTCTCTGCCTCCAGTCTTGTGCATAAGCAGAAAAATGGTGCAAAGGAGTCTCACTCTGCTGCCTACCTGCTGTGCAACCTAGCACATGGGTGGTGGCTGCCTCCTCCTTCCTCCTCAGAGACAGTGAGTTTAATTTCTAGGATCATAGAATGGCTTGGGTTGGAAGGGAAACTAAAGATCATTCCCTGCCAACCTTGTAGGCCAACTCTGCAGAAGAGCAGAGGAACATTGTTTTGGAGGTATGACAAAGGTGGAAGTCTTCTCTGAGATAGTTTGTGATGCTTCCTCCTACAATCAAATGGGGTCCTGCTCCTGTACAAAGATAACCCTGCCAGTAGTACTGAATAGCTCAAGGGAAGCAGGAGGAAGAATGTTTTTTTTTCTTGACTTCTCAGTTTTTTTTCCTCTTCCACCTTCATTTTTCTTCCTGTTACTTCAAATATATTTTTCTTCGTGTTTGCCAGTTCTGTTAGTGCCAAACTAACAGGGGGGCTTGGCCAGAAGAGATTTCATTTGCACTCCTGGCTCCACCCAGCAGGCTGGAGGAGGAGTGGATCTTTCCCTAGTTTTAAGCATCCATGTCTTTTGGGGTGTTGCATAGGAGGAGAATATTTTTTCAAGGGCTTGTAGCTTCAACATTCCCAGCACTTTTAATATTAAGAAAAGAAAATAAGTTTTAGGGTTTCAAAAGAAACAAGTCCATCAGACGAGAGGTGGCCAGCAGGGACAGGGATGTGATTGTCCCCATCTCCTCTGCTCTTGTGAGGCCCCATCTGGAGTACTGCATCCAGGCCAGGAGCCCCCAGTACAAGAAAGACAGAGAGCTGTTGGAGAGGTCCAGAGGAGAGCCACAAAGATGATCAGGGGACTGGAGCATGTCCCCTGCGAAGATAGGCTGAGGGAGCTGGGCTTGTTCAGCCTGGAGAAAAGAAGGCTGCAGGGTGACCTCATTGCAGCCTTTCAGTACCTAAAGGGAGCCTACAAACAGGAGGGGAATCAACTCTTTGAAAGGGTAGATAACAGCAGGACAAGGGGAAAGGGTTTTCAGTTGAGGGAGGGGAGATTTAGGTTGGATGTCAGGGGGAAGTTCTTTACAGAGAGAGTGGTGAGGTACTGGAACAGGCTGCCCAGAGAGGCTGTGGATGCCCCATCCCTGGAGGTTTTCAAGGCCAGGTTGGATGGGGCCCTGGGCAGCCTGGTCTGGTATTAAATGGGGAGGTTGGTGGCCCTGCATGTGGCAGGGCAATTGGAGATTCGTGATCCTTGAGATCCCTTCCAACCCTGTGATTCTGTGAAGTGCTACAATGAGCATAAAGAATGTTGGTTTTAATGTTATTAAATCATCACTGAAACTACACCAAAGTGCACTTTTTTCTTATACCTGTGAAAGAAAGTAAATAAGTATGTTCTTTGCTCAGGAAGATGAGGTAGTAGGGATGAGATTTACAGCCCAACCCCAGGGAGCTGTTGCAGTGAGTGGCCTGCAAGATGGCCATCTGTGGCAGAGCATCTCCCCCGTGTGTCAAACTGTGGTCTTACCATTCACCTTCAGCACAGTCTCTGCTTTCTGGCTTGGTTTTGTATGCAGGAGTTAACTCTTGCAGGAGTTACCTTGCATTTGGGAGCTGTGCTATATGGAAGTGTTGATCCCAGGCTCATGACTTGTTTGTTATAGGTTCAGGAAGGATTCAGGAGAGGATGAAGATGTCCTCACCCATCCAACTTCTAGGATACAACCTAGAAGACAGGAGAAGCAGACTGATGGAGAAGAAAGAGGATGAATAATATCTTCTTTCTTGGCTACTCACAGCTTTGTCTGGTTTTCCCACTTGTCTGGTTTTCCCACTTGTCTGGTTTTCCCAAGTGAGCTTTTCATTTCTTGCAAAGGAATAGTAAAGATATTTTGCAAAGGAAAAGTAGACAGACACAATGCATCCTGAGATCTTAGACAATATTCCTTAGGCTCCTGAACAAGTATGTGTGTTGGTATTAAGTATATTTTTAGAAAATTTGATAACCTGCAGGTGATCAAGTGTTGACCTCCTACAGAAATCAGTGTCTGGCAGAAGGATTGTTTTAGGATAAGTCCAGTGAATGCAGCCATGTCCAGCATCAGCATCTTTCCCTCTTATTTCAGCCTGGTTACCAGGACTTAGAAATCACTGAGGATCAAAATGAAGAGCTCAATGCTGCTAATGTCAGTGGCCATATTCAAAGAAGATGATCTGGATATTGTTCACATCTCTGATTCCTCAGTGGTCATTGCCTTAAAGAGCTTTTGCTTCCTCATCCCTCACCCAGTAAAGGATGTCTTCTTCCAGAATTAATGCTTCAGCCTGGGGGAGAAGGACAAGGCGGGATCTCAGTTGTGTGGTCCTTTTTGTGCTGTTCTCCTGCATCAGATCCCACCCCTGGGAATGCCCTCCAAGTTGCTTTTCCACTAGTAAACGTGTTGCATGGAACTGTTTTGAACAGGTAACTCCTCTTGTTAAACCTCTGTGCTTCAGGCTTACTTATAAAAGGAGCCTGAGTGGCAATGTCTCGATGGCACAGCTTAAAGCATAGCTTCCCTGTTTCTGGTGAGCAGAACTGTTCCTGTACTTCCATCTTAGGAGCACAGAGATGTCAGTCTACCAAGCACAGTCAGAGGGCTGTGACTAGAAAGTAACATCTCCCAGTGTATCTTGATTTGTGTTGTGGTTGTGGTGTGTAGATTCTGAAGCTGGAAGAGGGCAAAAGCAGTTTGGAAGGACAGTGAAAAACCATCCAGAACTCTTTATCTCAAATTTGATATTTTAGAGCACTGATGCATGTCTCCATTTGGGTTTAGTGGAAGATACAACCTCCCTCTGTAGCCGGGGGCAGAAGGTGT